ACGCACGCGCAAACGAATCCCAATGTAGTCAAATGGGTGGTTTCTTGACCAGCGGATGGCGCTGTGTAAATCCAAATATACAAGCAGTCACCCGCACACCAGGCCCAACATGTCAAAACACCTTTATTTAGACTCTAAGGATACATGGCGGCACTAGTGGACAGAAACTTTTAAGAACCGTCAGCGGTCCGTTCGTCAGGCAAACATAGTGACATCTACGCAGGGACTGCTGATGGCTCCGAAACGTTGCGGTTCACTAGTGCCACCTTCGCGTCTAAATAAAGGTGTTTTGACACATTGGTTCTGGCCAATCAGGAAGCCAGGTGCCGAGTAATGACTCGTTGCCCGGCTTACTGATAGGACAGCTTCTCGATCAATCAGTAAGCCGGGCAACGAGTCATTACACGGCACCTGGCTTCCTGATTGGCCGGGAAGCCGGCTCCATGCTCCCTTATCACCAGGTGACGAGGGAGCGTGAAGCTTTCTGGCCAATCAGAAAGCAGGGGGGCGAGTACTCGCCCAAATACTCGGCATCAGTATCGGTGCATTCCTAGTTAAGAACAAACAACATTTTGGGAAATGGAATCACCTGCTCTTACCAGTCATCGATCTCTGCCTTCCCTCCACAGCTGCCGGTGTAATGTCCATACTCCATACAATGGATTGAAGCCCTGCAGTATGTATTATGGGCGGCACAGTGGCGTCGTGGTTAGCACTTCTGCCTTGTAGCACTGGGGGGCCTTCCAATCCCGGCCAGGTCGCTATCTGCATGGAGTTTGCATGTTCTCCCTGTGCTTGTGTGTTCCTCCCACACTCCAAAAAGACATGCTGGTAGGTTAATTGGCTCGGTCTAAATTGGCCCTCGTGTGTATGTATGTATGTATGTGAGATAGGGATCTTAGATAGTAAGCTGTATGAGGGCAGGGACTGATGTGAATGTGCACTATGTAAAGTGCTGCGTACAATTGTCGGCGCTATATAAATACCTATAATAATAATAATAATAATAATAATAATAATAATAATAATAATAATAATAATAATATAATAAGAAGAAGAATGTACTATTTCAAATGGTGATCACTCATTGGTGTATAATACCTGTACTATTTACTATAAATTTCGGTCGCAAATGGCGAACACTCATTGGTGAGTGCAGTCACCTGACTGTGCTGACCAATGAGAAGCGATTCTGTATGCATGTGCAATAGTGACCTTAGATTGTAAGCTCCTTGAGGGCAGGGACTGATGCGAATGTGCTTTATGTAAAATCATGCGTAAAATTGTCAGCGCTATATCAATACATGTACTATTTCAAATGGCGAACACTCATTGGTGAGTGCAGTCACCTGACCGTGCTGACCAATGAGAAGCGCTTCTTAGTAGTTGCACAAGCAATCTCTTTAGTTTAGTCCCCTCTGGCTTTTAGAGATCTGAAACTGCACTGAATCAATAAATCAGAGCCATGGGGGTGCACTCGGTAGGACATGTTGTTGTCGGCCTCTTTATTTAGATACACGTTTGGTTTCACATTATCTTTTACACTTACGGTTGTTTACTCAGTGGGACTGCAGACTTAGTAGGTCACAGGTTCTGCTCATGTTTGTGTCAGCCTTCTCTAGTTTGATTTGGTTTAGTTTTCTGAGCTATGGCGGCACACGTAGTATTCGAATACTTATTATTATACAATTGATAATAACATATGATGCGTCTCTTAGGGGACCAGGAAGGATTTTGCCCCAATTTGGATCGTGCTTTATTTTTTTAGGATTACGTTTTTTGCCTCCCTCTGGCTCTACTGTAGGTATTTGGCTTTTTGTTTATTTATTTTGCCCTTTATTGAACTTGATGCACCGATTACCGGTATTTCGTTATCGAGTGCCGATATTTATACTTCAGTACTCTCCGATACTGAGTACCGGTACTTCTGGTAGCATAGAACCGGCTTCCCGAGCAACCAGAAAGCCAGGCGGTGTGTCATTACTCACCACCTGGCTTCTTGATTGCCTGGGAGCTGGCTTCCCAGCCAATCAGCATTGAGGCCGGCCAAACAGATCTGACACAGATCAGGGTGGAGGTGACACAACCTCCACCCTGCAGACACCTCATTCCCCTCACATAGATCCTTAGCAGTAGTCATTACCTTACCAGCTGGGCAAACACAGCTCTCCCAGATCTGTCCATGTCTCCTGTGTGTACAGCGTCCACGTGATCGGCCCATATTATCAGATTTGCTTGCCCGGCTCGGCACTGATTGGCTGAGAAGCCAGCTCCCCAGCCAATCAGCATTAATCTGGCCAAACTGCATGGAGCCAGCTTCCCAGCTCCATGTTCCCTCGCAGCACTGCCGGTCAGAGGAAATCTCCCTCTGACAAGTGCTTCCAGTATCGGGAAAGGTATCGGAGCATTTGGGCGAGTATGAGTACTCGCCCAAATACTTGGCATTGGCACCAATACTAGTATCGGTGCATGCCTACTAATTTGCATTGAGATTGTAGTCCATCACAGGAGGGAGCAGTGACTACTTTACAACACACATAAGGACCATAGGGAACAAAAGTAGCCCCCCTCCAGAAGGAAGGACAGTGTCACCACCAATTCAGAGAGGGTTTGAGGATCTACAGCTGAGTGATACACAAATAAAATACATTGTTGTTAATAGTTCGGGTACTTTAATGCATTTTTAAGATTTAACTCCTGAGTTTAGTGTCACTTCAAGTAAAATGCATCATGCTACTGCTTATATAACAATGCAGAGTGGATTTAATAGATAAAAACAAACAATTATATAGCTCAGTCTGATCTGCAGTACAACACTATGATCTTGTTTCAAACTTTAGATATGCTTTACAAATGTTTTTGTGTGTGTGTGTATATATGTATGTGTATATATATATGTGTGTGTGT